AAATGACACTGCCAAAAATGCTAAAGGTCACACAGTAGGAAGTACGTATTAGAAAACAAGGAAAGAAAGAAAAAAACATGTTGCACCCTATATTGTCATYGCAATATTTACTATTATCACCATCACAACAGTTTCTAACATCGTGCAGCCCAGAGGCAGCTGGTTCATGTAAATTTAACAAACAAGGCTCAGTTACACCAGTTCTGTCAGAGGGAATGGGACAAAATTCCTGCCAACTATTGTGAAAAACTTGTGAAATGATTTCCAAAACATTTGACCAAAGTTATACAGTTTAAAATCAATAGTACCAAATACTAATTAAGTGTATTTTAACATTTGACTTTGAAGAAAGTAATAAAAAAAATTCCCTTTAAAAAATCCCCTCATTATCCTTTTAGCAAATAGAAAAAAATTGGTAATCCTAACTGACCTAAAATGGGAAAAGTTTATTCTGATATCATGTCAAACAGTGTGAAAAAAAAGTTTTTTATATGGTGAATGTAAACCTCTGGTTTCAACTGTAAGTAGGTCTAGAATCTTTCAATGTTTACTGAAAACCTTTTTCCTCAGATCACCTTTTTGTTTTATTGTCTGCTAAAAGTTTTTATGAATGTTTTATTAAAACACTTCTCAATATAAATATCCACTTTATTGTGATTTTATAATTCAGATGTTTTATGAGTAAGTTTCTCTTTGGTTTAATGTTGGTTCTGGTTGTTTTTGGACTTGCTGTGGTCATCACTGGTGATTTTAGTCCATAAACTTGAACTCAGAGCCTCTGAAAATAAACTATAATTATTATAATATTGCTTTAGCTGGGCTAGAGCACTGGATCATTCAGCAGGCAGAGGCTGTATGGCAAGTCCTTCTAACATTTATTTGACTTCACCGCACTTATATTCAAGATATCTGAAAATGTGTTCTGGCTAGACATATTAGTTATTTAAGATATCTTTAATTACATTCTGACTTATGGCAGTATAAATTACATCAGATTTATTTTAAGTTTGAAGGAGGCTCCAATTCAAGATTTTTTGAAGTGACATTAATATTCAAAATATCTAAAATGTATCTTTAGATATGAAATAGGCTATATAAGATTCAACTAATGCAAATTGCAGCCTTTTTCATGTTACGTACTTTTTATTAAAAACAAGCTGCACTCTTTTAACTACTACAGTTGTAATTTCCGTTGTACTGTGTGAATATAATGAATACATGTTTTCTCAACTAACTTTCAGTTTGAAATGGTCACAATTAAATCCAACAGCCCACCACCACCACAGTTATTAGAAATCCTAGAGGAAACCCTGCTGTAGTCATGAGTCGTGGGATTTCTTCAGGTTAGGACCAGAGCAGACCGAGGCCTGGAGCTGAACTTAATCTTAGGATTTCTTAAAGGGATCCAGGATTAGTTGTACCATTAGACTTTATTTAATAAACATATATTTTAACTGTAAAATAAAGACTGTAAAAATACTGTAGGATGTTTAGTTTTTATAATTTTTAAACTAGAAGTTTAAAAATATATTTTAACACAGACGGAGCCATTTTATTTGCACACAAAGCATTCTGGGTAAATGATGACGTGGATAGGTCCTCGGTGCGAGGCTGCTAGCGAGC